ATTCACCGCTTCTCTCACCACTTCCAGATATACTACATTTAGCCGTCCTCCCAATCAAGATCCCCAAGACCACCTTAAGGTTGTTGGTGCTACCTAGCCAATCGAGGATTTACATGCACAGCCTTATATGGTATTTCTTTCTGTGACGCCATGACGACGAACTTATTAATGTATTCCCTTAATATAGAATCCATTAATCTTTGGAAAGTCTTGGGGCGTTGCACAATCCAAACGGCATTATGTTGAACTCGTATATGCTGAATTTGGTAATAAGGGCTGTTTTCTTTTTGTCTTCTTCGGCTACGGGAACTTGCCAGTAACCACTAGCGAGATCCAAACTGGAAAACCATTTGGCTCTTCCAAAACTATCCAGGACTTCATTAATATTTGGCAGTAGATATATGTCTCTTTCGGTTATAGCATTTAACTTCCTGTAATTGACACATATTCTTTTCTTCCCATTCCTTTTAGGAATGATTACTACAGATGATCCCCAAGGTCCTTTGGCAGGTCGAATAACACCTAATTTTTCCATTTTTTCCAGTTCTTTCTGCAAAAATTCTTGCTGATCCGGTGGAATATGATAGGATCTTTGCTTAATTGGGGTAGATTCGCCGATACTTATACAATGATATGTTTGGTTGGTACATTTCAAACCCATCATTTGTCTATCTTCAGAGATGTTGGTAGCAAACACTGCATGATTTCTAAACAATAAATTATGGGCATTATCTTGTTGTTTAGGTGTGACTTTTTGTCCAATATTATATTCAGATGCCTTTTGATTCAAGGAGATGCCCTCCATAGTTTCAACAAGGCATAAGGCCGGGCTGGGTTTACTTTCCCAGGGATTATAATATAGTTCATCTTCAGATTCAACACTAGCTTCATCAGAGAAGAAAGTTTCAGATTCTTCTTCCAACTCATCTACCCACTGGTCTTCATCATTCTTATCTATTTCCTCTACAGAGAGTGGTGGGGTAGTGCTGGTATAGGTAGTGTTAATAGTGGCCTGTTTATCTGCATACTTGATATGCAGTGTATGTTTTTTGAAGTCAAGGGTGGCGCGGGACTTATTAAACCAATCTGTCCCTAACAATAGAGTTTCTTTTATAGACTCTATTACTTGTAGGTCAATAGGTATCACAATACCTTGTAGAACCATTTTTACTTCTTCTACTATGCCCATGGCCTTTACTCTGCCTCCATTGGCAGTAACGACCACTGTTCTCAATCCTGAGATGGGGCTAATCCCAACTTTTTTATTAACCTGTTGGTAATTATACTTACAGCAGCTCTAGAATCTAGAATTGCCACAACTGGTGTGTCTTTAATTTTTACATGACACCTTATTGCCACAGTTTTTTTTGCTTTATCTGTTCCCAGACTGTTAGCTTCAGTTACCGGAGGTTTTGATCGTTTCAATATCTTCGGCAGATTTCTTTTCTAGTCTGGATATTTAAGGGCTTGTGCAATAGTCATATTTGCTTTTAGTTGAAGCAAATCTTCCAAGACATTATATGGTATGATTTGATCGATTACTAATAGTAATCGTTTCTTAACAACTTTCTTTGCCGGACCTTGCAAGGGCAATACTTCAACTGCTATAGGATCATCTAATTCCGGAACTTCAAAGGTGGCTTGTTGCTGTGGAGTCTGGTTATACAAGGCTTGTTCCTTGTATAATTCTGACTGTTTTTGCTTTGACTCCTTCTGATCCTTATTATAGGGTTGGTGTCAGAATAGTTGTGAAATATACACCACTTCTTTTTGATCCCCTAAATATTTTTCATATTCCGTGTCAGTATAACTAACGTTTTTTGACTTGTTATTGAGTTGGGTAGCCTGGGATTTTTGTTCTTTTACGGGTTTCTTTTCCGAAAGACAGTTTCTTGCAAAATGTCCATTTTCACCGTAGCAATAACAAACTAAAACGGTTTTGGTTGTTTTGGGGGGTTGGAAAAGTTGAAGTGACTGAGATGGCACTGCTAAAACTTGGGCAGTCAACGCAAATGCCAAAGTTGCATAATTTAGGGACATTTGTTGCATTTGTTGGGTAAGGAACTCTATATCTTTTTCCAAATTCCTGGATGAGGTTCCTTGGGCCGGATTAGCATTGGTAGCAAAATCAGTATTTTCCTTATATATCCGGGTATAATCCATAATTTCCTTGATATCCATAGGCTTATGCAATATAATCATGGGAAGTAGGCTAGGTAGTACTTCCCTTTTATAGTAAAAGAGCTTCTGATCAGGCGAAAGTGTTACTAAGGGCTTAATACACTTTATCAGTCGATTAAATCTATTATAATAAACGTCGATAGGCTCTTCCAGGTATTGTCTGAAAGCGTCCAAGTCGCTTAACCATTTATTTCTCCAGCGTTGATTGCAGAATCTTTCCTTAAAGGACTTGGTAATGTCTGTTCAATTATCCTTATGATTAGTGCCGTAAGTTTTATCAATAAAGTGGGTGTGCTGCCATTTGTCTGCAGCATTACACATAAAAGCTGGAAAAATATATCTCTTTCTTTTGTTATCCCAATTATTGGCATTGGCTGCTTTTTCAAAACTTTCTAGTCAGGCATGCGGGTTCTGTGTTTCATTCCCTAAGAATGGTTCGACACACAAAATGACAGATTTGTGTTGATTATTTTAAAGATAATCATACATGTTTTGAATAGTTGTCATGTTATTGGTAGATGTAAGAGGTTGTATTGTATTAAGTAAAGCAAGTGGATCAGTTTTAAAACACTGGATATGGGCAGCTACTGTAGTGATTACTTTGATAAGTTCAGGTAAGTTTCCTGGTGAATGTCAATATTTTATACTTAAAACTAATTTAACCATGAGTTTATGATACTGTGAAGATTGAGAGTTTTGGTATAGGTTTCCGAATTCTTTAAAGTAGTTCAAAGTCTTTTCCGTAAATATACTCACAGAATATGTTAGTGAATACCAATTGGTAAATCGGTGAAATCTCTTCGAAATATTATTGGGTAAAGGATAGCAAAGAACACAAAAATCCTTCTTTAAATTAGTATGTGTTGTATAATGATCGATTTTATCTGTATTCCTTGTCAAACTATAACTCATGTACCGCCTAATTTCTTAATAAAACGATGGAGTCTGTATCTCACAGTTACTACCAAATTGTTATACTCAAATCACCTCTAACTGGTTCGATACAACTGGGTTTGATAATTTATAAATGCCTCACGTACTTAACAGTTCAAGCCATGAATCTTAGAGAGTTTCAATAAGTGATTTGGGTTTGTGAAAGAGGCAAACGCCTAAGTATATATAAAGATACAAGTAGTCATGTTGGGTAATTTGACAATAAACTATCAAGTATAGTTTATTAATAAACACAATATGACTATGAAATCTCTTCACTTCAGTCACATGAACAAGAACGATAAATCGCTTAATGTTTTATACAACTAACAAATGTCTTTACTTGTGTATGAAGATACAAATAATAGTTTTTATTAATAATTGTAAGTTTTTAACTATCGATTTCTAACGAGAAATCGAAGGATATTTATACATGTTTTTCCTATACAATAATTTGATGTTTTATCTATCAGTTATAGCGAATCTTTTCTATCTAGTAATTATACAGGATCCAATATAACTGATACATAAGACATATTTGATAGATATAACAAAATAAAATAAATACTATAAAAATTAGTTCTTTGGGAATTAGAAGAACTATGAGAACTATGAGTTTTCTTGGCAAAAATGATCTATGGCCTACAGATCCCGTGATAACTCTTTCGCCATATAACCTATATAAATGGTGGGTCTAACAGTACAATATTTTATTATTAAATTAAAATATACATTTATTAATTTTATATTGGGGATATTGATATTTAACCCTCTATTTTATAAGTTAAAAATAAGTGTACCAAAACTTGAATTAGAGTATGGTTTTGGAACCAATACGTAGAAGGTTATACATAGCAGTCTAATTTTTAGTTATATGCAGTACAAAGTTTGGGGTGTTTTGAGCATTTTTACTTAGAAGAGCGCAGAATATCACGTGATATTTTAGGGGGAAAGGGGGTTGAAAAAATTATCACGTATATAGTTTTAGCCAATCAAATTTTTTTATTTAAAATCATCTAGGGGGGGGGATAGCCTCTTAATAAAAAAATATTACATGATAAACAGCCCTCCCCTTAGTATACTATATCTAAACTTTATTTCATATTGGTGAATTTGCGGAATAGGTCTAAATTAAGGTCTTTGGATTTAACAATTACAAAATGCATAATAACTGAAACTTTGGGCTTTTTACAATCACATTGTTGAAATTTATAAACTCTAGTTTATGCCCAATTTCGCAAATCTGCCAATATGTTTTAATTAGTTTTTAAAATATAGCATTTTAAATATTAGCTAGTGTTGTTATATATAGAACAAAAATATAGATAATAAATAGTTTAGAATAGAATATTTTGAACATGTTTGCCAAAATATTAATGTTTAAATATTAAAAATTATAATAAAAGTGGTTTTGTTAGCTAGTAAGAAAACTGGCACTTATCAGCTAAATATACCTCTTCTTGGTAATACCCTACTAGGGTTCTTTTTTTGCTCTCCATTTTTAAAGCTGCTGGGTAATTAACTCCTTACATATTTATCTCTTAAACCAACAATTTTAGCAAACAAATTTGGCTGCTAAAATTTTAAATCTTTAGTGTCTGATCTAATTTTGTCAAAATTTAATATATTTAAAAAAAAT